CTAGTTGGAAGAAAAGCAAGGGAGACTTAGCCAGCATCCTGGTCAATGTTTTACCTTCAATCAATATCATTAAAGCAGAGACAATCTAGTTATCATCACATTACTGTTGGTGGGAGCTTGCTGCGCTCAAATTGGCTTCCACATTTTTATTTTTTACTCTTTTATGAGATGTGCGCATCACTGACTGGGCCAGCAATCACAAGCGTGTGAACATATGGCTCAGGAACAGAAGTAAGCCATTCAGCCCATCAAGCCACATTCAATAAGATCACAGCTGGTCCGTTTATGTTCTGAATTCCAAATTCCCATCTACCTCCGAAAACCTTTGATTCCCCTGTCCAACAAGAATCCATTTGCTTCTGCCTTATGGTCATTGAATATTTTTTTATCTCCACCACCTTCGGAGACAGAGAGCTCCAAAGTTACATAACCCTGCAAGAAAGAAAAATTCCTTCCTGACATATCTGCCCGAAAGGAGTGACCCTTAATTTCAACAAAGTGTCCCCTGAGTCGGGACTGATCTTTAAGAATCAGTATCCTCTCCACATCCGCCTTATCAAGGATTTTGTACACTTCAATCAGTTCATCCCTCTCCCTTCTAAACACCAGAGAAAACAAGCCCCAGCCTGTCCAATCTTTCCACATTAAGCATCCCACTCATTCCAGATAAATAAACCTCCTCGGAATGCATTTACATCTTTCCTTAACACTGCATACAGTATTCGAGATGTGGTCTCACCATTGTCCTGTAAAACTGAAGCATAACATAATTGCTTTTATGATCAACTCCTCTCATAATAAAGAATAGCAAACCATCAGCCTTCTTGCCTAGCCCTAATTGAATCAACTGCCTTCTTAAAGTGCCGCAGGCCTTGGGGTGTAAAGGTACTCAGTGCAGTAAAGAACAAAGTTGCAGGAATTTGACGCAGTGACGGTAAAGGATTTGCACTATAGCTGCATAGCAGGACGATGGGTGGTTTGGAGGGGAATATGCAGGTGGTCGTACTCCCTTGTAGCTGCTGCCCTTGTCTTTCTGGCTGGAAATTTCCTCCACTGTGTACATGACAGTAATGGCCACACTTTAAAATCGCTTCAATGCCTGTAAAGGACCGTGCGACATTCAAAGGCCACAGAGAGGCGCTATAGAAATGCAGATCCTCCAGTTTCTCGGGCCATGTGTTGCAATCTGCACCCTCCCTGGAAGGGTTCCCTCACATGGAGAAGCATGGTAACCAATCCCAGCACTTACTCATTGGGGTGGGGGTCCCAGCACTTACTCACGGGGGTGGGGGTTATCTGCCAGTGGGGGTTGAAGGGACACTCAGCAGGTACCAATGCTCGGGTCTCACTTCGGGAGCAGCAGATGGGTTTCTATTTCTAATCTCTGCTCACCCCAACAAAACAGTCTCTGGATAAAACAACTGCCAAGACTTTTGTTTAAATTTTTGAAACAATGGTAATTGGCATTGCAGTTCCAATTCTTTAATTCTGTACAAGCGATGGTGGTGGTGGTGGGGGGTTGGGTCGGGTGGTGGGTGCCGTAACTTCAGTCTTGGCAATGGAGCTCACAGGGTACATTTCGTGTCTGTTGTTTGGATAATTGCATTATTCATGCGTATTGCCAATCCATAAATCTGATCTGACAGGCTCTACAGTCAGATTCATTAACATTGTTCAGGCTGTGGTATGATTCACTTAATAAGGAAGGTTTTCTCGACACGAGTGCGAGTCTTTTAGAGCCATCAGTCTGCACATGTGAACATTGGGTTTGAGTCCAGAGTGGGGACAGATGGGATTCTCACTGACAGATTCAACACAGTCACCTCCCTGTAGGCAGCTCCATTGGAATATTTCAAACAGAATCACAACTTTGTGGCCGTTTGTCATCGCTATTGCAGAGGAAATAAATGGAGGGGAAGCTGCTTATAGCACCAGAAGCAGCTTTAATAATAATAACTAAAAAAATGGTCTAAGTACTAAGCAGCTCAGGCACATCTGTGGAGACAGAAACCTTTTATCAGAACTGGTGATAGTTAGAGATGGAATAAGGCTTGAACAGGTGGTAGGTGATTTCCTTGTCTCATATAGTGAGCTGTACCTAGCGAAGGCCTAAAGCTAATTCTCAAACCCCTCCCACTGCCCTCCCCCCCCCCCCACCGAATCAAGACTGACTCCATCATCAAATATCGCACCACTGTTTCCAGAAAAGTCACTCATCTCACCACCTCTGGGAGATCCTCCCTTCACAACTTCCAATGTTCTCAGTCCCAAAACTTTTCACTTCCACCTCCATCCCAAAGCTCTCATACAGGGCCGCCCTGGTAGACTCCAATGCTCTACCTCATTCCTGCCCTATAGAACTGATTCTTTCCTCTCTCAACATCGTTTGTTCTCCACCTGGCCCGGTCTCTTCCTGCCTACATCTGCGGCTCTATTGATGCCCTCCGTGGCTTTAATAGATTGGGCTTCCTGGCTCTAATCATCTTGTTTTCACCATGGACATCCAATCCCTCTGCACCCAACAGGAAGGTCAGGAAGCTCTCCATATCTTCCTTGAACAGAGGCTCGAACAGATACCGTCAATTATCAAGCTCAACCAGTCCTCAGTTCTTTCAGTTCCCTGTGCCATATAGGTGTTCTTATGGTTACCTGCATGGGTCTCAACTATGTCTGCCTTTTTTGTGGTACTAATTTTTTACACCAGTCCTAGTCAGGCTCCCCCTCTCACTTCTTTTTCCATGACAGTGATCACTGTATTGATAATGTTTCCTGCTGTTGCCTTGAAATGAAAAAAAAAGTCATCCTCTTTGCTTCTAATTTCCACTAGTCTCTTACCGTCATGTGCTCCATCTCTTGATCCTCCCTTCATTCTCTCGTCTTCACTGTCTCCATTAATGGGGTTGGGCTGTCTGTCAATATTCACTTGAAGCCTTTATTGGTGAGTGTATTGAATACAGGGGTAGGGAGGTTATGTTGCAGCTGTACAGAACATTGGTTAGGCCACTTTTGGAACACTACATGCAATTCTGGTCTCCCTGCTAAAGGAAGGATGTTGTCAAAGTTGGAAAGGGTTCAGAAAAGATCTACAAGGATGTTGCCAGGGTTGGAGGGTTTGTGCTATAGTGAGAGGCTGAATAGGCTGGGGCTATTTTCCCTAGAGTGTCAGAGACTGAGGGGTGACCTTATAGAGGTTTATAAAATCATAAGGGGCATGGATAGGGTAAATACACAAGGTCTTTTCCCTGAGGTGGGGGGTCCAAAACTAGAGGACATAGGTTTAACGAGAGAGGGGAAAAATTTTAAAAGGGACCTAAGGGGCAACTTTTTCACACAGAGGGTGATGTGTGTATGGAATGAGCTGCCAGAGGAAGTGGTGGAGGCTGGTACAATTAAAACATTTAAAAGGCATCTGGATGGGTAAATGAATAGGAAGGGTTTAGAGGGATATGGGCCAAATGCTGGAAAATGGGACCAGATTTATCTAGGATATCTGGTCAGCATGGACAAGTTGGACCAAAGGGTCTGTTTCTGTGCTGTACATCTCTATGACTCTATGACTCCCACAGTCGCCAATTAAAATGAACATGTCTGAATTAATGATTACAACTGATGTCAAGGCAATCCAATGACCTGCTCTGCTCTAAATGTCAACCTAGATATAATCCTGCACTGTCCACATCCTGGCAAATTTAATAAATGAGGCTTGTATTACCTAGAATGTCCAAGCTAATATACAAGGTGGGGACTTCTCTTCCACAAGCGTATTATATCTCCTAGTTCCAGCAATACCTTTATACCTGAGATTGACAGATTATTGATTGGCTATGTTTTAAACCCCGCAGGAGCTTATAACCCATCAACAAAACCCACAGTGAAGCATCTACTGTTAAAAGTGACTCTGTGATGGGGCAGCTACCTGCCTGTCAGACCATTCGTCCCATCAGGGCTCCCAGAAATGGACACAGCGGGGTTACTACTGGATTCCAACTGGTGAACATGCCCCCTGCCACAACACAATATACAGCCCTGTATACTTCAATCTATCGCGTCCCATTCTTTCACAATGTCAAGCAGCCTGTTCTGTCCAGATCACTACATCTGGAATGTCTGATTTGTTACAGAACAAGAGCACTTTAGCAACTCATTGAATGCTACCATCAATATTTACGCAAGCAAAGTTTAAAAATTGATAGAATCAAAGCAGAGATCAGCAAGCACAGGGAAACATTTCATCACAAAAGCTTACTGTCACAGCCTGACTGTTCAAATAGGTTATGGCTAGTTGGCAAGAGTTCAATACAAACTGAATCTGCATCAATAGCACAGGAGAAAGGAGGGAACACACAGCTGGCTCTGTGGCTACACTTTTATTGCCCAGTGTGATACTGAGCCACTTGGCCAGAAACCTTCTGGGTTTGAATTCCAGCCCATGCTTTTTATCATCCTTCGATTATGGCAACACTGGTTGGGCTATAATTGGTGTGAAGTCACATGAGCAAGGAGATTGAGAATAACGTACAAGTGGCCTGCTTATGATCACTGACTACCATCTCTCCCCAACCTGAATCCTGGCCCACAGAAGACATGGTCAGGCTCAACTGTACTTACAACCTTTTTTTTTAACTCATTGAAGGGGTGTGGGCATCGTTGGCTGGGCCAGCATTTATTGCCTATCCTTATTTGCACTTAAGAAGTTAGCAATGAGCTGTCTTCTTGAACCACTGCAGTCCACTTGGTTGACGTATGCCCATAAAGCCAATAGGGAGAGTGTTCCAAGATACTGACCCATTGACACAGTTAGGACCATTTCCAAGTCAGGATGGTAGATTTCTATTTGTGAACGTGTATCGTTTGGATGATGTACTGGAGTGTTGCCAAAATGTCTAGAGCTAAACCCCGATGTACCTATATATTGTGACTCTGGTGGTGGGGAGTGGGGATGAGGAGGATAATTAAGGGCAAGATATCAACGAGCGTATCTCAAGTAAACGTATTCCTACCGGCAATTCCTATTGCAGTTATCCTCGGTAATGTCTTCCATGTCACCGCCGCTGCCTGGAATATCCACAGCTGAAAATATCAGAGCAACAGAGATAGCGAAACAGCACACGAGAGCAAAACCCACGATGCATTTCTGCTGTGACTAGGGTGGAGAAAACAAAACAATCGCGTGAGTATTGGTTCAGTTCGATGGATTTCTTTAACAATTAACTTCATTTGGAAGATGATAAGGAAGTAAAGAATGACAGAGGTCGGCCATTTGGCCCAACACGTACAAATTTACCCCAGCTATCGTAATCTCCTGAGGGAAAGCACTTGCATAAATAACCCAAAGTGAATCAAAAATACTGGGCTGAACCAAACGATTTTTGGTCACATGTCTGTTGCATCGAGTTTTTTTGGGAAAGATTGTCATACCCAGCAGGATTTCTTGCTATCTCTTGCCAAATGCACCTCATTAACTACTGACCCCACCCTCGATGGCCAATTCTAGCCCATCATAGTCAGGCGTTCCTGCAATGACTGATCACCAAGCAGACTTTCCTCCAAACAACTGGATTCCCACAGACCCCATCCATCCTTAAAAGTTGGTCGTGCACTTAGATAAGCACGATGAGTACAGCGCTGCCCTGCGCATTTCCTGGCATCAGCTCTGAACATGGCAAACTGGGGGAATTCAAGATTGATGAGAAACTAGCCACAGTGCTCGTCAACAGCATAAAAGATGGAGGAATATATTCCTGACGTTGAGATTGGTCCCACTGACTTCTTGTCCATTTCTGTCCTAAATCTCATCAAAACCCACATTACTCAGACCCCCTACAAGATTTCACCATTGACTCCCATATTGCCTTTATTCAGTTAAAAACCGAAAGAACTGTGGATGTTGTAAATCAGAAACAAAAACAGAAATTTATGGAAAAGCTCAGCAGGTCTGGCAGCATCTGTGGAGAGAAATCAGAGTTAACGTTTCAGGTCCAGCGACCTTTCCTCAGTTCTAAAACATTGACTCTGATTTCTTTCCACAGATGCTGCCAGACCTGCTAAGCGTTTCCAGCAATTTCTGTTTTTGTTGCCTTTATTCAGCCCTGGTTATCCAAAGAAGTTTCCATATTTCATGTCACAGATACAGGCCCATTCTGCAGGTTAGCAACAATGTTCATTTATGTAACAAGGGAAAACAGACCATCTTGGTTCAATTCTGTGCTTTTGAAGGCTGGAAGACGCGTAAGTATTTTGTTGAGGTGATTCACTTAAAGCAAACTCAACACAAAGGAAGATGCATCTATTTTCTAACGGCGGCTTATACTAAATTTGTGAAGATACGAAGATTCAGTTCATGAACTAAAAACTCTACCTTCTGCACTTCTTTCAGCAAAATAGTTTTTATTTTATTCATTCATGGGATGAGGGCATCGCTAGCTAGGCAGCATTCATTACCCATCTCTAATTGCCCAGAGGACAGTTAAGAGTCAACCACATTGTTGTGGGTCTGGAGTTACATGTAGGCCAGACCAGGTAAGGATGCTTCCTTCCCTAAAAGGACAGTAGTGAACCAGATGGGTTTTTCCTGACAATTGACAATGGTTTCATGGTCATCATTAGATTATTAATTTCAGATTTTTCTGTTAAATTGAATTCAAATTTCACCATGAACCACGGTGGTATTTGAAACTGAGTTCCCAGAACAGTACCTAGGTCTCTGGATGAACAGTCCAGCGATAATACCACTAGGTCATCACCTCCCCTTAAGCAGTTCCATCTGCCACAGTGAAAACCTTTGAAGCACAATCTCAAATAGTCTCCCATAATAAAATGGTGGTTCAGGGAGCAAGTGTCAGAACTAGCACTGAATTGCACTTAGTATAGGTAGGGTCCCAAGTTCAATTACCCATTTGTACCCAGGCTACAATACAGATGGTACGACTGACCTTGCAGTCTCAAGGACAGTAATGGGGCAGTGCGAGGGGGAAGAGGGAAAAAAAAAAATCAACTGATGGTCTTAGCACTTATAAACATGTAGGGACAACTGCTGATAAAAGCATGTATAAGGTAGGACAGGCTAAAACAGTAATGCCTCCGCCTGGCCCATGTTTATAGCCTATCATTTATTATTTATTTAAGGGCTGAGTCTACACTTTCAGCAGGTGGCAGTACACACAGGGGGAATATGGCAGGAAATCACAGACACTTAATAAAGTTAAAATTTCCATAATGGAAATCTTTACTATATGTTGGGAGAGTCAGTGTTCTATTTTAAGAATGATCACTGACTGAGGTAATGGACGATTGCTGGAAGCTGGGAATTACAGCCAGCATGTTTTTGAGAAACAAAGATGAAAAATAAATTGGAAAATAATCACTTTCGTGATTTGTATGGATCCAATCTAATTTCTACATAAGAACTTTAAGGCCATGAGGAGCCTATTCATGCCCTTGGGCAATCTGATGTTTATTTAAGTAACGGTTGCTGTGCACTTCATCTCAATTCATCTGCTTTTTCTCCATAATACCCTCATGTTAATCTCTGGATTGGGAGATTGCAAGACAATATATTTTTACTATCCTTTATAAAAGAGTGTTGATATTCCTTCTGAGTAGTCAAGTTGGAATTTTAAGCTTATGCCCATAGAACCTAAGGGTGCAATTTTAATTTAAAGTACTTGTAAACACATCCAGAGGGTGGGTAAGGGTGGGGAACACAATTTTACACTGTGCCATATGTTGCTGTCCCTAGACTTCAATGCAGACTGGAATCAGGCAGAATGATATCCAATATTGCACCTAAGCCCATCAGGTGGGCATGTTCATTTAAAATTCACTTCTTTACGCTTTTGCATTTGGTCTCTCTGACTTCCATCTCCATATCCTGGAAGAATAGGGAAGTGTAACTTTCCCATTGTCATGGGACCTCCGAACACAATGTCCCCACTGATTGTACAGAGCAACATTTTATTCCAGGACTTTCGAGCATCTGAATTCTAAGCGAATCAGAAATCCTTGTCCTCATGATGCTGGCATTGCACACTGCCTGAATCCCACCAGGATGAGACTCCTTTTATTCACTACCTCATCTAGAAGGCAGCATTTAACTGCAGACCATGTGCGAAGCAGATGAAGGATGCCAGCCTTTATTGACTGTCTTGTATTTCTTTAGGTCTCTGTGTCTCTACATTGTTTTGGTCTGAGAACAGCATGACAGTAAATCCACCTTCACAGTTTGCTATGAAGACAGGGAATATAGTTGGCTCTGGGGATAAAGCAGATATAGTTCATCAAGGTGCTCTCTCCCCTCAAGATATATTAATAATAACACAGCCAATAAAACATAGACTTGTACTATCTCACATCACAGTTCATAAACAAGAAAATAAAATGGAAGAAATCAAAATTGATACACAAAATCAGAAAAAATTAAGTTTCTTAATGGAAAGATCTTGCAATTAAAATACATTTTTCATGACTTCAGGTTATTATAAATCTCCTCATAGCCAATAAATTATTGTGTAGGCACTGATCCTGTATAACCAATATCAGTTGTATTAGGTACACATTAAATCGCATCTAAATTGTATTGATTATAGGAAATGCCACTTAACCTACACCTGATTAGAAATTATGTTTAATTAAAAGCAAAGAGCTCATTAGAATTAAATCAGCGCAGCTACCCCCAACATTCATTCATTCTCTGTAATCTTCCACTTGTGCCATCTTGTGATATGCTTTCTGAATCTCTCATCTGTTACTGTGCACTGCTGTTAGTTCCATTTCTTAAACAAACTCAGAAATTATATAAAGTCAGCTGGGAATGTAAACATATCAAAAACTAAAAATGTATAAACATATGAAATGTATATCTTACTTTAAGCTGACAAATATTTGAAGCTATCTAATTATATAATGCTTCTACACATGCCGTTTTAACAATTGTGTTTTTTGTTTCCCTTTTCTGAACTCTAATCTTCTTCCTTATGCACTCAAAGAAAATTCAAGAAATATTAATTGTTGCAAACATTAATTACCTCAGTGATCATTCCTAATATAGAGATATGCTGTTTAGCTTTACATCTTTCGCTAAACAGGACAGATGCAAGAATGCCAAGTTTAAAAAGGGAGCAACAAATTACACAGTCTACACAAAGGGCATTGATTGATTGAGGCTTGATAGAAATTACATTTATTTATTTGTAGGAAAAAGAAACATTGCACCTTTATTGAAACCAACAAAAGCATGGTGGATAATAGCTCCCTCATGTATTCTTCATGGCAACTTTGTGACCACTCAGTTAACTTGCCAACTAAACAGCACCGTTTTCTCATGCTGTGTAAATTAATACTCACTTTGACATTTGGCATTCTTGCATTTGTCCTAATGAGTGCAAGTTGAAAAGCTTCAACAGCAAGCATCTCTTCTCAAATACTGATAAATGTCCTTATGATTCTCCATGAGATAGACACCAACTGTATAATAGTGGTTTCAGTCCATCAAACCTGTTCCAGATTAGCAGGCCCAGCTTTTATTCCATTATTAATTATTCTATGCTTTTTCTGCCACTTCAGGAGAGATAGATCAAGGAGAATAAATGCTTTTTCAAACAGTTGGGTAATTCCATAATAGGCAACACATTCTGATGCTGCTTTTGAAGAGTGGGTTGTGTTCAGAAACCCTCAAGAATGACTTCTTAGAGTAATGGAGTTTAGAAGTATCTTTGAATTCAGATAAACTGTTGTATGCTTTATAAACACATTGCTTGCATTTTGATGTTCACCTGATGATTGATATTCTTCCAATAGCCAACAACAGCAGTCAAAATGGATGATTTAGGTTATCCCCGGGATCTTCTGGTATTCATTAATTGGAACAGAATGTACAAATATGAAGAGTTGTTTCCTTCCAGGCAAAATAATTCTCACAGCAATGCATGTTACAAGTGAGTCACTCCTCTAGATTCTTAGGAGGTGAATTTTGCAGTTTTCTTTCATGTCATTTTTCACCCACTCTCACCGCTTCTTGAAATCAGGTATATTTTCACCTGCCAAGAATCATTATTGGTTCTTCCCAACAATAAGAACTGGAAATGTCAAAACTTTTAGATAGTTACTAGCAACTCAATATGTAACAAAGAGAGTTTACAGGATATT